GTATGGTGTAAATAAGACTGTCTTATATATAGGATAAAGTAGATAGGAGTTTAAGTAAATAGATATTTAATTTTTTTTTGTCTATAGAGTATGCGAGGTACTGAATAGAGCTGGGTGTGCTCAGTTTTTCACTCTGTCGTATAACTTCATTAAAATAGAGGCTGTCACTTAAACCACCACCTACCTTTCACGTGCATAAGCTTATGTAAATTACGGATGGTGAGATTATCATTTGGACAATACGGGTGGTGATATTATTATTAGGACATCTTAGCTAATGACGTTAGTATATGGACATTATTGGTGATGAATAAATTTGAAATAGTAGAAAATATTCTAATCTAATTACTATTACCTTAAGCACGAAATCTTGAAATAAATATAACAGATTCGTGGAAAAAAAAACGTATTTAAAATGGCTGTCAAAATTATAATGAATTGCTCTTGATCGAAACCGTGCTCATTACATTCAGTGTTTCTTCCAGACTTTTTTCTCCGGGGGGGCACTTGAAATCTTCGGGGGGGGGGGGGCGGTAAACTTTCTTCGGGGGGGCGGACACTGTTAAAAGTATATATTTTCTATATAAATTATATAAATTTCATTTCGTTCGGGGGGGCGGTAAAAAATTTTCGGGGGGGCTTCGCCCCCCCGAAGAGATGCCTGGAAGAAACTCTGATTACATTTTATTTCGATGATTTCTTAAAATGTAATTGGATTGCAGATTAATTAAATTTGCCCATACTGTTAGCTGCAGTCTTTTTCAGTGCTCTGGCGACTTCATTTCCGCAAGGTTATATTCGTTGAATTGTTTCTATTCGGTTGTATTCGGTCATGTTCGGTTGTATTCGGCCGCTTTCGGTTGTGTTCGGTTGTATTTGAGACATGTTCATCTATGTTAGGGCGTGTTCGGATGTGTTCGGTCGTGTTCGGCCAAGATATTTCATGCTCGGCTATAAAAAATATATTCGGAAGTGTTCACATGTATATGCATACGTTTGTGTTCAAAGCAAGCAAATATCAGCATACTACGTTAGTTAAAAAAGAAAACAACAACATTCAACTTTCCATAAACAACAGTCTAACCTTCAACAAACGTTTTAACAATCATTGCAAGTAGTCTTATCTGCGTTGAACTAACACTTAATAATATTGCTTAAACAATCAAAGAAAGAATCTCAATAATCAATAAATCGACTTAAAAGAAGAGGCTCTTATCGTGATTTCTCCGAAGGAAGGGGTTTGTATTTAATGTGGTGGAACATGATATAAACTAGTTTTTTTCTGTGGGATTTAATAAATAGATCGAGGAAAAAAAATTGCAATAGGGCGGAACTAATCAATATTTTTCGCTTCAGTTAGCTTGATGAAAATAATACATTAAAAGTAAAACGTGAGATATAAATAGAAATAGTATGTAAATTTAAAAACAAAAAAAAACCAGTTGTAATATGTTAGTGAGGTCTGTTGTTTTCAAGACATTTACTGATCAGAATATTGAATTGATTGTATATTATTGTATCTCTTATCATAGTTATGGTATCTACTTTTCTAAGTTTTAGAAAAAATATCTGATGAAATAAAACAGCACATTAATAACCTTCGTATTTACGTCCATTAATTGTAAACAATTTGTATAATGAGTTCCTACTATGGATGTTTTAAACAATTTTTTAAACTGCCCGTGCACATAGCAACACGCTGAGAATGTTTTCAAGTGAACTTTTAATTCTTCAACCACACATAAACAGGGTGATAGCTACAGTTTTTCTTACAGACATTTTTCTCTGGGGGAGGGGGGGGACTTGCTTTTCGAGGGAGAGGGGACACTTAAAACTCCAGTGGGGATGCACTTCTTCCGTTTGGGGGGGGGGGGGGGGGGGGGAGGGCGGACAGTGGTTAAAGTACATATCTATTTTATTTATATTTTTATTTCTTCTATTTCGTCCTGGAAAGTGTGGAGGTGGGGAGGGGGGGGGGCAGATCACCTCCTCTTCCACCCCGGATAAATGCCTGAAAGAAACCCTGATTGCCGTGTACTTGAAAGAGTTGAAAAAAAAAACACCTGCGCGATTGCGGGCATTAGACGGGCGCTAAGTGACAGTTCTCGGCACCGATCTAAGAAATTGGCAGCGATTTACCTCCAATCCCCTACCGCAATCATGCCCCTCTTACCCCATTAGCCCAATCATCCTCCACAATCACTTTCACACGTACCTACACTTTAATGCTCAAATGTCGCTATCATCCCCGTGCCCTGGGTAATGCTCCCCACGCGATACGACTTCCCTGGTTTACTTCATTTCAACGCCCAGAAATTTTCAAATCGAACAATTTGCGGTTCAATTCGCTATTACCCGAACTACAACGAGTATCGTTTTTTTTTTCTCAAGAGATCAACTTTTCTTTCTCATTTTTGAAAATTTTCACCCAACTCAAAGAACAATTTCTTACACGTACTGATTTTTTTTCGCCTTTAGAGTTTCTAGACTAGTGTGTAAATTGTCCTTGAATTGGGCGTTATTATTTTCTTCAAGGATTCTCGCGGTAATTCCTCCCCCGTCGTTTGCCCGGGGGTCGGGATGACAACGTGTGTGAGAGTCTTCAGGGGTGGGGAAGGAGGGGGAGGTAATAGCCATTGATCCGGCAAATTCCACCTAAGTATGATATTGCGATAAAAAAAATAAGGGCTTTGAATAACACCCTGGACGATTACATCAGAAATGATAGCGAGGTCTTCAGCCAATCGATGGACAAGGATCAGATGACAGACCTCGATCGCACGCGCTCTGGAGGCTGGCCCCGCCCATCAATAATTTTGCAAGCACGGATATTTTTTTGTTTTTACACATTGCTCACGAAGAAGCATGATATTTCGGGTTTAAGAAGAAGCATGCTATTTCGGGTTTAAGAAGAAGCATGGTATTTCGGAGTATATTGTGGTTATTTCATTACGGTTCAATGTCAATTTTTAAATAACACACACATTACTTTACTATTAACAACAAATAGTATTTTACTTTTTTTAGAATGTTCTCCCTACTTGATAAACATCGTTGTAAATTTGAGGCAAAGTATTTAACAACTTCATTATACAATTTAAATAAGTAAAAAAAAATGAACTATTCTTAAGAACAGCAAAAATCAAGGGATTTAGACATTTAAAGGGGAACAGAACATTATGATAAAATCAAATTACCCAAATAGCACCATGGGTTAAGGACGATCGATTAATTGATTAATTGATTGATTAATTGAGGTGAGCAGAAATATAAAGGAAGATCTGAAGGACGGTTGTTCAACAAGAATAATAACAAAAACCGCAGTAAGATTTTCATATGTTAACTAGATCTGGTCCCCTTGACTCGGTTGTTATTTCCAATATGCGACTAATTACGCCTGAACGGGGCTGGTAATTAAACACTTGGATTTAATTGGGAAGCCAGGCAAGCGCTCCGTCTGTCTGGCAACAAAAGGAATCCTGACACTGGGGTCATTGACTCCCCAGTCTCGAGGGCTTACGTGGGCGGGTGTGCGTTAGGTAATAGCGTGTCACGCTTGATCGCACACGCGGTGATGGAAGCTTAGTGCCGGCAGGGATTTGCCGTGGCAGGTAATTCGTGGTCTGACATGGACTTACAGGTAATTCGTGGTCTGATACGGACTTACAGGTAAGACATGGACAACATGGAATTATAGGTAATTTATTGACATTAACTTACTGGTAATACATGGACGGCAATAACTTACAGGTAAATCATGGACGACATAGACTTACAGGTATTCCATAGACGACATAGACTTACAGGTATTCCATAGACGACATAGACTTACAGGTATTTCATAGACGACATAGACTTATTAGACAGATTTGACTACCCATAAGCCTCATGTCATTTAACCCATATCACTACCCCATAGATCCCGTGTTATTTAGCCACATACGTTAATTATCACCTGTAGTAAATAGATTTAGTTAATCACTGTGAACATATGTTAGAAGTTCTGAAGTCTGCGTGTCACAGACCAATTAGAGATAATGCATGGAGGAAGCGTGCCCCTCCCCCTTTAACAAGAGATTTGATCCGCCTAGTCAGATTGTAGTTCCATAGTTTTTATAAGAGCTTACGCCTTTGCTTTATCTCTATCCCCGGCATAAAAATCATGGTTTTATAGCGCATGTCTGAGCATGTTGTACATTAACTAGCGGTGACAAAACATGCTGTTAGAGACCTTGAGATTTGGGTGATCTGCTTGTTTTGTTAGTGTGTGTATGAATACTTACCTGTAGATTATTAAAAAAAAATGTAGTAAATAAAATTATGAATACGTTATCGACACTAAACCTATAGCATTTTTAAAAATGTAAATGATGGGAATTAGTTTCTAAAACGTGAGGATTAACTCCTTTCTTAAACTAACGACCGATACTGTAATGCAAACAAGTTGAAAAACTAAGTTACCCTTGAACATGTGACAACAAATGCTCATTACTAATGATCCTTTATGCAAATAATTTGAAGGGTTTACATGTATAATATCATTGAGAATATGGGAGCATTTGATTACAATATTAAATTTTAGTAGAATTGGATAGTGCTTTACATGCAAAGAATTTGAAGAGTTTACATGTATATTATCATTGAGCATATGGGAGCATTTGATTACAACATTATCCTAGAGCTGGATAGTGCCCTACAAGTAAATAATTTGTAGAGCTCACTGTTATGGTATATTATATTACCCTTGAACACTTTGGTTGCCTTTGATTAATATATTATACATGGATATGCTCCTGCATGCAAAGAATTTGAAGAACTTACAAATATACTATCGTTGAGAAAATTGAAGCCTTTGCTCTTCATTTGATTATCGTAAAGTGTTATACACGCAAACAATATAAAGAGCTGGCAGTATTTTATTAATAAACATGATTATACTATCCTAGATCGATGCGGGCATATATAAAACCTTACAATTGTATTTTATTTTATATCCACAGGCTCACACCCCCTGGGGCCTAGGATGCGACCCCCCTCACCAAAGGCGTCCTCTTCCCCCCTCTCCTCCAGGGGCGGAAGTCCCGAGCCCCACCACCACGAGTTTCTCGAGGACCGGGGTAGCGAGCGAGCCTGCTCCCCCTCCTTTAAGCGCCCCGCCGCCGACATGTACGACTCGGCTGACGACGACAACGACAGCAATAGAGGCGGAGGGAAGGAGGACAGCAATAACAGCAAAGACGACAGTGATGATGAGGAGAGGAGGAAACAGAGGAAAAAGAAAACGAGGACTGTGTTCTCTAGAAGTCAGGTAGGTCATTGCTGATAATTCTAGTACCTACCTTAGACTCACACACCTGACCCACACGTCTATACACACCTGACACACTCGTTTCAATAGGCCCCACACACCTGATCAACCCACCTGAGCTACCGACATGACCAACCCACCTGACCTCCACAACTGACCCCCACACCTGCCCCTCACACATGACCCCCACACCTGACCACCACACCTAACCCACATACCTGACCCACACCTGACTCCCTCACCTGACCCCCACACCTGATCCCCACACCTGACCCCCACACCTGACCCCCACACCCAACCCCCCACACCTGACCCTCCACACCTGACCCCCACACCTGACCCTCCACACCTGACCCCCACACCTGACCCCACATCGGACCCCCACATCTGACCCCACATCCAACCCCCACATCTGACCCCCACACCTGACCCCCACACCCAACCCCCACACCTGAACCCTACACTTGACCCCCACACCCAACCCCCACACCTAACCCCCACACCTGACCCCCACACCTGACCCTACACCTGACTCCCCCCACACCTGACTCCCCCCCCCCCACACCTGACTCCCCCCCACACCTGACTCCCCCCACACCTGACTCCCACACCTGACCCCACACCTGACCCCCACACCTGACCCCCACACCTGACCCAAACGTTTCCTCTGCCTGCAGGTGTTCCAACTGGAGTCTACATTCGACATGAAGCGGTACCTGTCTAGCTCTGAGAGGGCGGGGCTGGCAGCGACCCTACACCTGACTGAAACACAGGTGAGTCACGCTTACCTTGATAACGTCTTCAGTTTTGTCATTCAGAATGACAGTGTCATTGGTCACTGAAAGTGACCGTATTATTTTGTCATGGATCTTTGGCAGTGTCATTTGTCTGTGAACATTAGACAGTGTCATTTGTCAGTGTCCTTTGGCAGTGTCATCATGTCAATGAACATTGACACTGACATATTTCAGTGAACAATGGACAGTGCCACTATGTAACAGACAGTGTCGTTTTGTCACTGAGCGTTGACAGTGTCATTTGTCAATTACCTTTGACTTTGTTATTGGTTAGTGACCTTTGGTAGTGTTATTTTGTCAATAAATGTTACTGATAATGTCATTGCCACTGACATTTGGCAGGGCCATTTTGTCAAGAAACTTTACAAAATTGGACAGTGTCATTTTGTCACCTTACGTCGATGATGTCATTTTGTCTTAAAAAATAATTTGACACCGTGTAGGCTATAGTTTGTCATTGTCATTATGTCATCAGACTTTGGAAGAGTCATTTTGTCACTAAATTTTGGCATATTCGAACTCTCACCAAAATTCACAATGTCTTTCGTCAAATTATGTACCTATCTTACCAACTTGTCATTATCACACAGCAAATCGAATTCCACGATATTAATATTCCGCAAACAATAATTAACACGAACTTTAATTCACGAATGTGATTATCTTTGACTACAAGCAACTTAATTTTTCCCACATATTTTATTACATAATAAATGTCTCATAAAACACATTTAAAAATGTTAAGTGATATGATAATGTTACCTAATGTATGAACTTTTAAAACGTATAGTTACATCTATAGCTCTCTTATTGTGAAATGTATATAAAATTAGGCATTGAATATTGTCGAAGATTTATTACTTCAGAATAAAACCATCACTGTTTCTTAGTTAATATTGACCTACTTAATACTGGCTTAGTTAAAATGATCATTCCAGATACTAGTTTCATATTTAATGTTGCTTAAAATAATTACAATTAATCGGGATTATCCTGGTGTAATTATTAGAATTAGTATTGAATGTACTTTATATTAAGCTACTCAAAATGGTTCTAGTTCATTGTCACCTACTTTATGTTGACCTAGTTGATATAGTGTTTATTTCGCATGACCTAGTTAATATCGTTCACGAAGAATGAGACCTAGTTAATGTTGTCATTGTTTCCTATGACCAAGTTGATACTTTTGACATTTATTGTGATGTACTTACAATTATCCTGTTGTATAAAAAAGAAAATTTCCCTTTTTTTTAACACGATGGCTTACGATGACTCTGAAGTAGAGCTCACCTTTTTTTAAAACCTGGTGCCCTTAAAGTAGAGTTCCCCTGTTTCTGTGACCTCTGCATAAGAAAAGATATTGTGGTCAGCACTATACTTAGCCGGGGACGGAACTCGGAAGAGAGCTAGACTGCTAATCCGAGATTCTCGAGTTCGAATTCGGGTTCCAATCAGTGGAAAGTCCCTGAGTCCACCCAGCTCTTTATGGGTACCTAACTTTCGTTAGGAGAACAAAAGCGGCTAACCACACTATCTGTTCATATGTCTTGGACACGAAGGGGAATGATAAGAAGAAGGAGACCATACATAGCTGCCTTTACTTTCCCTAACATAAGTAATGGTTTACATAAGTAATGTACCCATCATAGCTTGGAGACTCAAAAATGATTTACTGACTTGAACTCGTATTCGAACTCGAGACTTCCGGGTTAGCAGTCCAGAGCCCCACCACTATTATTATTATTATTATTATGAGCAATGTATATTGTGTTCTTAAACTAGACAGAATCTTGAGAAAACAACTTTTGGTTTTTATTTCAGGTGAAGATTTGGTTCCAGAACCGTCGAAATAAATGGAAGCGTCAGCTGGCCGCCGAGATGGAGGCGGCCAACCTCTCCCAGAGGGCGTCACACCGCATGGTGCGCGTCCCCGTGCTCTACCACGAGAACAACTTCCCCCCGCCCCACACCCGCCCCGACTCCCTCCACTCGGGCAGCTCGCCCCCCATCAATCCGTCCTTGTCGTCCTCGCTCTCCTCCCCCCTCCCCTCCACCCTCACCTCCTCCCTGAGCCCCCTGTGCTACCCCCACCACTACCCTCACATCTCCTCCCTACGGTCCCTCCACGGGGCCGTCTGATCACGTGACAGACACCAAATTAACCCCCCCCCCCCTATCCTAATGTGATATGTGGCCCCTGTGATGCCGCTATTTCTACAATAAAATTACACCCCACCTTCCCCCCCCCCCTTCCTTTAACAGTGCAATTAATCCATTTGTAAATACCCAAACAAAACAACTCAAAGGATTTGATGAGCTAAAAATAGAATGTAAACTGTGCTATTTATACATCGGGAATTCCCACTTTCCAACAATTGAGTACGCTATGAACTATGAAAAGACATTCTCACACAATGATTTACATACTTGGAGCACTTCAATGGATAAGCTGAAGTTTATCATTTGTTAAAAAAAAACAATGCCAATAAATGACGAATAAGAAAGCTACGAAGTAAACATATTAAACTTGATGTTTTAAAAAAATGGAACTGCAATACACAAATTGGTGAAAAGTTGTGAAAGAATGCCGTTCATGTAATGTTTTTTTTATCTCTATCTACCTGTATATAAAAAAATTGTACCTATACATTATGTATACATAAATGTTAATGTCTGTACTTATGAAAACATACCAAAGATATACCATTAATTTTTATTATATAATAATTTTTTTCTTAATTTACAAACATTTTTTTTGCTTGGATTTATAAAACAACTATCAGCAGCATTGGAGACAAGATCGTAAAAAAAAATAACAAACGCTTTAAATGTGAATGTTTGTGGAAAAAAATGTGGATACACAAACTCAATACACTGTATTCACATTTATGACATAAGATCGGTTTGTGTGAATGAAAGTTTGATTTGTGCTTGTGCATTATAGAAACATGATAATTATGAAGTTTTATGGTAATTAAACTTATTATACTATATCTTGATGTGTTTTTTTATGGTTTTTAACGAGAAAATGAAATTCACATTAAAAATAAAAACATTCACACATGCACATTTTCGTACATACGCAGGGTGTTGGAACAACTTAATTACATTTTAAATATGCTACATAAGTCCTTGTAAGTATTTTTGTGCTTTCATGATAATCTATAAACAAAACACCTATGGTCAAAGCACCTGTGGTCAAAGCACTTATGGTCAAAGCACCTGTAGTTAAAGCACCTGTAGTCAAAGCATCTATGGTCAAAACACCTATGGTCAATGCACCTGTGGTCAATGCCCCTATGGTCAAAGCAACTGTGATCAAAGGTCCGCGTACCGTTTATTCGTGTCATTGTTTTTCCCCACACAAATGTATTTTGTGTACTTATATCGATATACATACCACATATATGCCAATTTTTAATGGTTGTTTATAATGGATATACATAAATACAATGACATTGATAACGTAATTCATTTAGTGTCTCAAATTAGTTTTTAATAGGACTATAGTATAAAGTCAATACGCCTAAATATTTACTACTATACATTTATCAGTTAAATTTCTGTTAATTTTCAATATTACTAGGCTAAAATCTGACTGATAATAATCATACACCACTATATTTTTATCAATTAATTCAATGTATTCTTTGCTTTTCAATAAGACTATCCGGAACTTAAATAAGTGGTTTGGAAACAAAATTATTCTAAGAATTCGCTCAAGCGTAACCTCTTTCTTGACAATTCGGACGAGCAAACAAAAAAAAAAAAAAAAAAAAAAAAAAAAAAAAAAAAAAAAAAACAGTACCCTCTGTAATCTTTAATTAGCGCAAGTGGGTATTAATTAAAGATTATTTTTTGTCTGAAATGTCAACACAATAGACGGCGATTTGACCGACCGTTATACGTCGCCAACAGCCGAGTCGACGTGATTGATTTGTTTACAATCAATACTGATCAATACAGGATTCGTTCGGCCGTGTATTGTTGAGAGGTTTAGTGACAAAGCAGAGATTAATTACATGAATGGCCGTAACCTCCACTCAAATTAATTGTGTTTTTAGCTGTGTTATTTATTGGGTGGAGTTAGTCTTTATAGATCCGGCTTATGATTTGAGCACCTGAACTCCAGATCGAACTCCTGGCAATCGAAGCGTCTGGTGAGCAGATCCGTTTATCTCTCAAAGTTGCCGTCTGATGAAATTGTGGTTCTCTTTGTTGAAGTCGACAGTTGTTATCTGAATACTGGCCACAGCGCATCAAAGCGCACCAAAGCGCACCAAAGCGCACCTAAGCGCACCAAAGCGCACCAAAACACAACACATAAACGTATTTAGTCCTCTCCTTTACGTTCTCGCAATCTGCCTTCCACCTCCTCGTCCTCTGTCAGTAAGTCAGGTACCCATCAGAGCTGAGTGGACTCAGTGATGTCATACAGTCACAAGTCTGAATCTATATCCGAACTCGATACCTTCGAGCTAGCAGTCTAACGCTCTACCCTTTGACCACCAATACCTGTAGTATGATCAGACATCTTCACGATTTGATCGCCAAGAAATAATAGAGAAAACCTTGCCTGGAACAGAATGTGGTCAACAGACCACTCTTTAAGAGTTTGCTGATTGTACATGATATTGATCTGTTGTGTTTTGGAGGATTTAAAAAAGTTCACCTTCATTCCACCAGCTTAAAGTTTGATGGCCATTAGTAAAACGTCTCTTTTTCTTCCTTCTTAATCCCGTTCGCGCCCAAGACACATGGGGCAGATGAAGTAGAGTTCATCTGATTCATAGACCTCATCTGATTCACTAGTAAAACGTAACTCTTTGTATCGACTTACGTTCATATCCTATGGGAAGCTGTGTTCGTATAGTAGAGCACGATTGCTAACCCGAAAATCTCGAGTTTGAATCCCGGGCTCGAAGTCTGTAGAACTTGCATGAGTCCACCTGCCTTTTATGTCAACCTAATTCACCTTAGGGAAAGTCAAGGTGGTGGTGCATAGAACTGAGCACACTATCCATTCACACAACAAGATCACAAAACAGGTCAACTCTATCTCACCTTCTTCAAGGACCACCAGGTTCGAAAGATAAATTACATATATTCTCAATGTAGTTAACACAGTAGTTCCTTCGTTCATGTTTCTACCAGCCACACTGTAGCGGAACTAACAAATCCCAGCACAACTTAGCAGACTCCCACTTTTGTGGACCTGCGGCGTAGGATGAAAGGGTTAAAATTTCCAGCTCCTGAAAATTAACGCCACGTTTATTTTTAAAATCTTGTTAACGACCTGCTTTTAGCTTAATTAATCGATTCATAAAATCAAATTGCAGTTTTTTTTATGGAGAAAATGAAGCGAATGAAGGATGCCGTGTCTTTAAAATATGAGTGACAGATACTTAGATTAAATAGTAAAATAAAAATATGTTGTTTCATTAAAGTAGATGTTATTACGAGATAGTCGTGTTTCATTTACCACAATATGGAAACTACACACACACACACACACACACAGTTACACACAGAGAGCCTCACACACACACATAACCCGTAAGGATTTAAATGCAAGTAAAATTTATACCCAAAATTTCGAGAGTAAACATAGAGCAATACGAATATACTGCGTTGAAAATTAACAAGAGTCGGCCGTCCTTTTGGAGCTGATAGCGTAGGAAGGGGTGGTTCTAACCCCTAAAAACCCCATCTGCCTACGCCACTGAGTGACACCAATATCTTCAAGTTTGAAACACAGTGGTAGGTAATCTGTTGCCCTTGAGCTGAAGGTAGTTTTTTTTTCAGGTATTATTCAAAATATTTGTAGAAAAGCGTTGTGAAAATTAGACACACAATTTTTAATTCTACTAAAATGTCGGTTTTATGTTGCTGATTAAATGTTGAGAGAAATATTTTTTTTGGTTCGCTGTTACGCATACATTTTTCTAAAATTTCATATATGTAGGTTTAGTAACAGAAATCAAATTTAATAGAAAAAAATTAGCTGAAAATTAATAAATAAAATAATAAAAATAAAAAATGGCTGAATAATTAAAAAAAAAAAGTTAATAGGAGAAAGGAAACAAAAACTAAACAAGATACCATGTAGAGATATTTTTTTTTATAGTCAAAAGATTTTATTTTAAATCAAAGATAGTTAAAAAAATATTGATAACTTTTTTTAGGAAAAAATTAAATATTCGTTGCTATGAATTTAGCGGGATAAAAAAAACGAAACTCTATTCTGACTATTTTTGTTGTGGGGGAATGAGAGAAATGTAATTCCTGTGTGTGATTTTAAATTACTCTTATTCAATTATGTATATAGCTGTATTTGATTTTCAAAGTTAGATGAATGCTAAAAATGAAACAATATATACTATCAGGGGAGTTGTCGGACTTTAAATTTCTAATTGATCTTATCTCCCTTTTTAATGTAATCGATAAAACAACACTAATTGTAGATAATTTTAAAGATAGTGATAATATTAATAAATTCTGTTTAGTAGAAATAGTGGGTGGTTTAGTGAGATGGTGGTGACTTAAGATGGTTGGTGTAGAAGGTGTTTCAATTGATGTGGTGAGTAGAGCGATTAGTGACACCAACGTGTTATGTTTTTTGTGAAACATGGACTAGACAGAGAGCGGTTTATGAATGGTGACACACGTGAATGGTGGATGATGTGAATGGTGATTCAAGTGAATTGTGACTCAACAGAATGGTGACTCAAGTGAATTGTGACTCAACTGAATGGTGAATGAAGTGAACGGTGACTCAATTGAAAAATTAATGAAGTGAATTGTGACACACGTGAATTGTGACTGAAGTGAATGGTGACTCAAGTGAATGGTGACTCAAGTGAATGGTGACTCAAGTGAATGGTGACTCAAGTGAATGGTGACTCAAGTGAATGGTGACTCAAGCGAATGGTGACTCAAGCGAATGGTGACACAAGTGAATGGTGACTCAAGTAAATGGTGACTGAGGTGAATGGCGACTCAAGTAAATGGTAACTCACGTCATATAGTGGCTGTAATGAGAAATGCTCCAAACACACGAAAGCTCGGGAAAAGCATTACAAATCGAAAGCAGTAGTGATTTACCTTACAGTGATCCAAGACAGATCATCATCATAATT